AAAAATAAAAAGAAAAAAAAAAAAAAAAAAAAAAAAAAAAAAAGGAAAAGAAAAAAAAAAAAAAAAATTTCATTTGACAAGTAATTCCTCTCATCAAAAGTAATAGTCATAAACTATGGGGAAGGGGGTATTGAAATATGGTGGTAAGTCGGGTATTTTGCCAAAGAAAATAAACATTTTCACCAGACCGATACGCCCTATGAATGAATGGGAGAAACAACGGAAAGAGGAGGCAAAAGAGAGCGGTTATGCGCCTGGTGTACCAACCCCGATTATCAACAAAGTGCAGCTTCCACGCCAGCATCCGCCACGGAAGGTTATTACAGTTCAAGAACGTATTGCAGCGATCAAGTACCCGCCAATGTCATTACAAGAAATGAATTCATTACCGGAAGCAGAAAGGGATGCTCAAAAAAGGGCATACTACAGAGCAGAGTTTTTGAAAGAAGCATACTTGGAGGAGGAAAAACGGTTAGAGAAGATTGACCAAATGAAGAAGAAGATTCATGAGCAAGACTTGGAGAGGCAGCAAAAAGAAGAGAGTGATCATAAAGCAAGCGTCATTTCATCATTACCAACAATACAAAAAATCTTGGAGGATGGATTGGTCAGGCAAAGAACGCAAGATGAGAAAGCGTTGTTGAAAGAGGAGAGGAAGTTGAATATGCGTTCTAAGGAATTGCACGAAAAGGAGGAAAAATTTCAGAAATTGTTGGAATTGTACCAAGCATCTGGGAAATTTATAACCAGTGAAGAACAACTCGAAGAAGCGATTTACAGAGCGTTTGAGGTGGATGTAGACAAGTTTGAAACCAGCCAAACTATTGTGGATAGTAAGCTATTCTCGGATAACGCAAGCTATTTGGTTGGAGAAGCTAATGAACAGAAGATAGCCGATGCTGTATTAGGAGAGATAAATGGGAAACCCGGTTTGGAACAAGTAAAGGATGTTTTGAGTGGAGCTAGAGAGAAGGTGAAAAGAGAAGCACATATAAATCTTAGGAGCTCAATGAATCCTACAAACTAGGTGTGTGGAGGAGGGCAAACTATCTTGTGACTATCTCGTGTAAATAGCTAACATCATATCGAGCAAGTCTTGTAATTCGTATATTCTAACTGAGACCAAGGGGGAAAGGCATCTCGCTCTCTTAAAAAGCTTTCTACTGCGCACTTCTTTCAATGGGGAAAAGTAAAGATGGCCGCGCTTCTATAAATCTTTTTTTTTTTTTTTTTGTTTTCTCTCCCCTTTAAGTCACCCATTAGAGAAGAGCAAAAGAATAGTTTATTGTTTTGCTCTATAGGTTTAAGAAATGCCAGCGGTAGAAACCAGGACCCATCCAGGTAATGAGTATCACCGGATTTTCAACAAGGTTTATAACAAGCGACTAAAATATGTGCTCAATGTCAATATAATATTATCTGTATTAATGGTAACTGCGTTAGATGCTCCATTTAGATCGATACTGTGGAATGGGTTTCTCATTGCAATTTTATTGAAAGTACCTATTTTTTTTATAGCATTGGGTATGATAAGACAAGCTAGGAAGAAATTTTCAACAGTTGAGTATTCTGTACATAAGACATTGGGGTCTCAAATATACTATTCTATTATTTCAAAACAGTTTATACGCATCACCTTATTTTATGCAATTGCAGCTATAAGCATTTATGGAGTATTCATCTTTCACCTACCATTTACCTATGACTATTATTTGATTTCCAAAGAGTATCGAAAGAGCCCGCTTTTGAATGACGCATGGGTATTTTATTGGTACTCTCCATTGATGCTTGCGGCTTATTACTCGGCTAGCCAATTGATCTTTCAAAGAAACAGATTAAAGTTTGAAATTGGCCATAGTCGAAAGAGCCCAGAAAAGACATTGTTTTCACATATATCTCAAGCAATTGGGAACGCTTTTGGGTTAAATTTGATATTCACTTTGGCTAACCCTGTATTCTACTGGTTTATCAAACCATATCTATACAAAAGCTTGCTTTTGCTTTCTTTGTTTGGTATAGATACTTCCACACCTGCAAGCAACACGTCGATCTCAACATATTGCAAGGAGTCCTTTTTGGCATATATAGTTCTTTTAAGTTGGGAGCTTGTTAACCATGTTTTTGATGTTTATGCAACCATTGGCTGTCTTGATGGGAAAAAGCCAATTTCAACGTATAGTGAAGACCCTTTGAGATGTTTGTTGGCTGGGTTGCGCGATGTATCTCGTAAGCATCAGATAAGTAGGCTAACTGCTTTTCAAGAGTTGGCCTACATTGCCACCTCCAATGACAGAGAAGGCATAAAGTTGCGCTTGGCTTTGTTCAGCTCCAAAAAGAAAGTCAACTTGTGGCCCGATTTTTATGAAGAATGCGCTTTAGTCATAAGAGAAGTTAGTGAAAGAATCAACTACCGGAGCTCAAGTGATATCAAAGAATTGAAGAATTTGAGAAAGTCGTTAGAAGGGGATTTAATAACAGGGTTTAAGCAAAATAAAGAGGACGACAACATTTTCGGGAACTCTTATGCCTTACCAAAAGAAAAGAGTAAAGGTCAAATGCACAAGCCTGTTTCCTCAAGCAGCAACAAATTTGTAGAAATTTGGGAAAAAGAGATTGCAGCGGCCTTGCGTACCATTCTTGGTAAATATACCACAGAAAAGTTTTGGAAGAAAAAGGGCTTTATCTTGAAAAGAATTAACAATAATATCGCTGAAGCCAAGCAAAGCTTTCTAGATTCTAGAATTGGGAAATTGTTCAGAATCACTCTTAAAAGAGATTGTGAATCACGAGTAAGAAACCCAATCAACTTTGGCAATTCAATCATTGCAATCTGTAATATTCTTCAGCATTCAGTGGAAGATGATCTTTACGGTACTATCAACCCCTCAGATATCGCTGCCACACTTAACTTACTTGAACAATCAATAAGAGCTTCAACTAATTACACTGACTATCCCCCTGAATCAGTATTCATCAATGACGATACGAACCCCAAACAATCATTGATTTTCTTATTGCGAAACCTTGCAATGCATGAGTTTTATGAATTATGTTTGCAATTCAATAGCCAATTGAATGATCTTAATTTAACTCAAAAAACGTACAAATTGGCGAAATGGGTCATCGACATTGCCATAGCTGACAGGCAGCAGGTAGAGAGAAAATACACATAATTTTCAACCTTTTTTATTTTTTTTCTTAAAAAAAGAAAAAATAAAAATAAAAAATAAAAAATTATATATTTCTCCTGTATAACTTGTTTCTACCCTTTTTTTTATTTAATCTTTTCGGCTGTTGGTTAGGTTATTAGAGCTATTGTTATTACTTGTTTGCGTGCCAGGTAATGTATCCAAAAGAACTGGTTTGAGAACCTCTTCGTCAAATCGTGTAAACCACTTTGCATGCTCTTCGGCGCTCAAGAATGAACCAAACACCCCTCCTCTATCGCTGGAGGTTGTTCCATCATATGTGCTATTACCTGCTCCTGCTCCTCCTCCTGGTCCTCCTCCTCCTTTAGTAGTATCTGATATAAAATTGTCCATGTCGCTTCCGCCAAACTCGTCATCATCCTCTGTATCCACATTCGGATTAGATTCACCATCGAGTAGATTACTTACAGACGCATTTCTACTAGTTACATTGTCATTGAACGGGCTGATCCGTGGTGTTTTTGTAAACCGTCTGTTCCCTAAAACAATTGGCAGCAGTACGGGATGCGATTGTAATCTTGGAGCTTCTATGTCAAACTCGTCGTCCGATTCGGCACCTTCATCAACACAACCAACTTTTATACCCAAAATTTCCAACATCGAGGCAGTAGTGCCTCCAAAAAGAATAACGGTTAACACAACAACAACTAAAACGGTTGCTAATAAGGTCCACTTTGTTTCGCCTTTGAATCCCATGGCCAAGGCAACACCAACTGCTCCTCGAAGACCTGCCCAAAAAATCATCATTTGGTAAGAGTGGCTAATTTCATCTGGTATGTTGAGACCACCATTGAGGCTGTTGATGCTGTTGATGTTATTCACATTGGAGGAAAGACCACTATACTTTTTAACGCGAGCTCTGTACAAAAAGTTCAAAAATCTTGATAAGGGAAAAACCGCTGACCACCTGGCAACACAAATGGAGATGAACGCTACAATAATCAACATTGGCTTAAATACAAGTTCAACTTCAGTAAATAAGGATAATCCAAGGTAAATAAAAATGAAATTTTCCGACAATTGAGCTAGCAATTGAAAAACATACTTTGTAGCAATTTGAGTTCGTCTTGACATATTATAGTAGGCGTAATGCTTTAAAGTGATTCCACAAAATAATAACGATACAATACCTGACATGTGTGCACCATTTGAAAAAAAGTACGATTCATAAGCGAATAACAACACTAAACATGTTTCGATTTGCGGATATCTTCTGATACGTGAATGCTTCAAAATCAACGCCACCAAGATACCTATCAATATTCCAATAATAGTTGAAATGGTGAATGTCATTAAAAACAAACCAAAACCTTCAAACAAAGACGAAAACCTGACTGGATGACCGTGGAACTTCTGACACGTTTCGAATATAACGATAGAAATTGCGTCATTGAGCAAGGACTCGCCGAATATGATAGTATACAATTTGGGATCCACCTTGTAAGCATTAAATATCGAGAGGATCGTTACTGGGTCTGTTGCTGACAAGGTTGCTCCCACAGCCAAGGCATCAACAAACTCAAGTTTCATGTTATCCAATCCGATTGAAGTCCATACGTATATAATTATTCCAACAACCAATGCGGATATGAATGTTCCAGGTATTGCAAATGTCAAGATACTACCAATATTTCTGAAAAAATTTGCTTGATGCAACTCATAGCCACTGTTTAAAATAATGGGCGGTAACAAAATGTTGAAAAAATAACCGGGGTTGAATTTGACAGCATTTTGTATGTAGTGGCCTGGCAGTAATCTGATGATCAAGCCAACAATCATTCCGCAAAATATAGATAAAACTGTTTCGTGAACAGCCTTGATTCTTCTTTGTTGTAGGAAATATGACGACCACAAAGCGCTCATAAGAAGAAATAGCAATATGAACAAAGCCCACGATGAGAATATCTCGTTCTCCACGGGGTTGGAGTCGTCCAAGTGGTCATCGTCGGGGTTTGTTAAATCTGGAGAATTATCTGAATCATCAAGCAAAGCTCTTTTAGCTAGATGTTGGACAGTATATAGTACTAGGCTAGTCATAAACCACGCTTGTCCGACTCGTTTGTGAAGCTACAAACGTAAGGGTAAGACCGAGTTTTGGTGAAATGGGAGAGGGGGCGGCGCGGAGAGGTTGAACTAAAAAAGAATGCAAGTGAACAATAAGGACAGAATCTATTAAAATATTGTTCATCGAGGATTAAACTTGAGTTATAATGTCAAAAATGATGAAATTTGACAGTTTAATGTCGCGACAATGACAACGAAGGGTTAAAATTTTAAGGAGTATTTCAATCTCCATGTCATCATCTCCCATGTCATTTACACACGTTGGATAGAGTAATAGAATAATAAGCAAACCTTGAAAGAGTTTATGGGCCATTTTCACCAGATCCGCAATTATATTACACTTTGCCTTTTTTTGCACTAGTGTATAACGAACAGAAAATTTGCTGAAAAATGAGAGAAAATGCTCACTACAAGTTAAAGCCACATGAGTTTAATTGCACACGAGTCTGGTTGCTTTGTGTTGAGCAGAAGGAGACCCCTTATTCAAAGAAAACTAAAGATTGGTTTTAAAATTTCATCTTCAACTAATATTTCACAACGCATTTTGACATACATCCATATTCTCGGCCATAGGGGGGGGGGGGAGAAAAAAAGTAATTAGTGGATTGACCCCTTAAGCTATTGACCACAATTGGCTTATATAACTCTCATGGTTTAGAGAAGTTGTTGATATAGTTTCTCTCGTGGTTTATAGAAGTTGTAGATATAGTTTTTCTCGCGCCTATTGAGATATCTACAGAGCCTTGGTTCAATCATAAGTAGATCAACTACAACCACTATTGCCTTGGGTTTCTTTCACTAAATACCTATCAAGTTAAGATATGAAAAAAAAAGAAAAGAGAAAACATCGCCCGTATAGTTACATTGCGGGAATAGTTGTAATTACTTGTTAATGGACGAGATTAACTTTACATTGGGATACATTTAGCTTGGTTACTGAAGTTGATAAAAACTGATTGCAATTTGCATGGAGCCACATTGAAACGCCTCCTCAACTCTCTACAAGGGAAGGTCGTAGCACATGACAAATGGTTTTCTGAAATCAGTAGATTAAAATACAATTTTCCTAATCCTCACTCCCTTCTTCCCTCCCCTTCCCCCTTCCTCTTTCCCCCTTCCCCCTTCCCCCTTCTCCTTTCCCCCTTCCCCTTTCAGTACAAATTAGATCAAGATCTCGAAAAGAGTTATGAACTGAGATTTTGGAACTCTCATCAGCAAATGAAATGAAAAAAAAAAATTTAGAAATAAAAACAACATGAAATAAAAAAAAAAAAGAATACAGATTAATATATACTTTTATTCACCAACATGTCTAAGTACAGCATATATAGCAACGGTGGAAATGTACATGACAGAGGGACTGGTGTTATTGGTAATGCTGGTAGCACTGATGGCACGGTAAAGCTTCCTTCACCTCCTTCACCTCCTTCACCGCCAAAGAAGAAAAAATCATTCATTGATCAAGCTCGGAATAATATGAGTTATATTTATTCGTCATCTCAAATTAATCCAAACTATTCATCTACCAACTTGTCGAAAATTAACCATTCAAACTGTAACAATAATCCGTATCTCAGTTATAATGGGTCAACAGCATCTATCAACACCCTCCCGCTGACGCACCAAGATTTTAATTTACCTTCACCACCTTCCTATTCTTCATATCTCATGACGCCTCCATATTCAGAGTCGGCTTCACCAGAACTCGCGGCATATGACAATTTTGAAGATGGTTTTCAAGCAAAGTGGAAACATCAGCAGTATAATAATAATAACAGAAACAATGACAACAAGTATGCAACCAGCACTACCATTACTACCACCACCACCTCCTCCTCCTCCTCCTCCGCCAAATTCAGGAGTCTACTACCACCGATAAACTTGCAAATATGCATGCTATGTTTAATTTGGTATTTCTGTTCAATTGTCTCGTCCAATTCCATCAAAGTGGTACTAAACAATTACAAGTATCCTGTTACAGTAACTCAATTTCAATTTTTGTTCAACATAGTGTTGAGCTTAACTGTTTTATTTATATCGAAAAGTGAAATGCTTCGAGAGAAGTTTGAAGCAAGTGAAATACTTCCTGAAAATAAGTCATTCCTGCTGTTTATTAGTCCAAGTAAGCATGTCATTGCTACTACTTTGCCAATGGGCTGCTTCCAGTTTATCGGTCATTTAACAAGTCATAAGGCAACTTCCATAATACCTGTATCTTTAGTTCACACAATCAAGGCACTAAGTCCCCTCATTACAGTTTTAGTTTACAGGTTTATGTTTCGAAAGAAATACAAGGCTAGGACTTTCATTACATTGATTCCGTTGGTTGTTGGGATTATGATGACTTGTTACAAACCAAGTAATACTAACACCACGCCACCACCACCTCATCCTTCTTCTCCTCCTCCTCCTCCTCCTCCAGTTGTTGCTGGTGCTGGTGCTGGTGCTAGTGCTGGTGCCGTTACCGTTACCGTTGCCCCTACCAGTTATTCGACTGGGTTGATTTTTGCATTTATATCGATGTTGATCTTTGTTAGCCAAAACATATTTGCGAAAAATAAACTATCGTCATTGTCACATAGCTCCCTCGGAACCAAGATAAGGACTTTAGACAATTTGACTATATTATTTTACTGTTCAATAGTAGGATTCGGTCTTACATTACCGATATGTATTGTATCGGAGGTGCTCAATCACACACTCTCCATTACTCAGTTGAACTTGCCGATTATTTTGCTTATCATTATCAACGGATTAAGTCATTTTTTCCAGTCAATTTTAGCATTTCAGATCCTCAAATCACTATCGCCTATTGATTACTCGATTGCAAATATTTTAAAGAGAATTTTTATTATATTAATATCATTTATATGGGAGCTGAAGAATTTCACCCCATCGCAAACAGTTGGGTTGGTTACAACCTTATTTGGTTTATACTGTTATGATAGATGGGGTACTCAGAGAGCCAAACCCGTCTAAGTGTTTTTTTGTTTTTTTTTGCATCTAATTTTTTTTTATGTATAGAATAATTTATTTATATGTAAGCCTTTTTTTTTTTTTGTTCAGTGTCCTGAACCATCTGTGTTCAACATTTTCTTAAAGATATCTCCAAATGCAACCATAAACACAGTTTGCCAAACACCTAATGCAATTCTGGGAGTGACACCTCTATATAAACCTTTCATACCGTTATTATTGTAGATATATTTGGCTGCACCCCATACACTCAAATTCTTTGGTCTATTTGGATCATTGGTTTTGCTTTGCATTTCAACTCTGACAACTTCAATAGGTTGGTTCCAGGCACTCAAAGCTCCACCAATAACACTGCTTCCAATTTTTTCCAAGTTTGACAATTTCTGATCCCGATTAGTTTTACCAGTGGTTTTCCTAATTGCATCTTCTGCTAATCTTGAAAACCCAAATCTTGAACCCCAATTGGTCATTTGACGAATCGCAACAGCATTGACACCCTTGTTTATTCCTCTTATCCCTTCTCTTCTCCATATATCCTTAAATACTTGAAAAGTGGTTTGTTGAGGAGCACCACCGCTAACGGTGACTTGTTTTGATCTTGTGATTTCAACAGTCTTCATGCATGTACAGAACCCCATGGTCAAGTAAGCTTGCGCTAAACCTCCCATAACACCACCACCCATTCCACTAACAAAATTACTAGCTCCTAATTTTCTGAATTGGTATTCTGTTTCTGCAGACACAAACAACAAGACCGCACCTTTAGTACTGGCCTCAATCCATGCCCATGGAATCAATCCTTGGTAAAAACCTTTAAGACCACCACGGCTCAAAATCAACTTTGCCGCTTGCACCATAGACAAATTCCTATTGGCCGCCATTGTCGTCTTGATGACCTCCAATGGCTGACCCAAAGTGGTCGCCTCGGACAAGTTCAAACCTGCTCCCAAAAGGATGTTGGAAAAGCTAATTGGCTTCTTTTCAATCTGACTGGTTTGTGCCATTGATAAATGGGATGCGATGGCGGTGCTGGCGGTGCTAGTGGTGGTGGCTAAAGAGTTGGACTAGGAAGACTTGGAGGAAAGAAGTTTTTAAAAAAAAAAAAAAAAAGAAGAGAAGAAGGAAAAAATATTTGGAGATTATCGTGAAAAATTTATCTGCGTAAAAAATTATAGCCAACGCGGGAATAATTCTTGAGTAACTTGTACGCTTTACAAAATCAATAATATATATGCTTGTAGTATGACCATTAAAGCCGAAGGATTTACTAGATACACGAGTTTTGGTGTCAAGGCAAATTCTGACATTTTCAAGAAAGGGGGCAATAGTAGTCGACAATGTGATATATCTTGTTTGTCACATGTATAATATACTTATCTTCAAGCCGAGAGTATTTTGTTTAATGTCGGTTCAACTTGAAAGAACTACACTATCGAGTGGAGCACACCGACTACAAACCGGGTTTGAGTGCAATTTACATCCTTACCAACAAGTATCGTTATCGGCCTCAAGAGTGTGCTATTGTTGATTTTAGCTTATCATGATAAGGTTAAGATTTCCCTGACAATAGGAAAACTGGGGTTTTAAATCTTCGCCGGTAACGGGCGAAAAACAAAAAAGAAGAAGAAAACAAAAAAAATAAAAATAAAAAAAAAAAAAATTGTGTGTTTTGCTTGAATTTTGATAGCTTTCCTCCATTTTGGTCGAGTTTAGATGTTAAACATAGTAGACGAGCTTGTATTCTATTTCATACATACAGGTTTGAAATAAGAAATTTGGCGATCTTATTTTTTTGTATTAAACAACGGTGGTGGAGTACCCTTGCATAGAGATAGAGAAACCGCATATCAAAGATGGCTATGTCAAAAAACAAATGACAATATGAAATTTGCGACAAAAGGTGGATAAGCTGGGTGTGTTTTTTTTTTTTTTTCATTTATTTTCTCTGCTTATTTTATCTAAGGACAAGTAATTCAATACCCTGAATTAGTTTTTAAATCTCAATCAAAAAAGGCCAAAATGGGTATAAAGAAGATATTTATGAAGAAAGATCCTACGGAGGAGGAGATACTCGAGGGTCTAAATAGAGCGGGTATAACTACAAAGTCAGGTAATTCTAGAGAAGAGAAATTTGGTGCTTTTAAAAATTATGCCCAGGAGAGGGCACAAATGAAAAGTGGCTTTAAACCTGTTAATCCATATGCAAATGCTCAAGTGAACGATCCTGCACAAAACCCGTATGCTAATAGTCAGAACGGTAGTAGTAGTTCAGCTACATTGACTAGTAGCAGTGCAAATTCGTATCTGGCTCAAAAAAGTAGTAGTCCTTACTCGAATCCACCTACATCGAGTGCCAGTACCTCTACCGCCACCACCAAAAGCACATACTCACCATATGGGCAGCAGCGTTCACAGACGAGGGGTGCGTCACAATATGAAATGTACCTGAGGCCAACTAGCCGACAACCAGTGCCTACACCTTCACCTCAACATGCCAATCCATATGGTCTGTCAAGAGCACGAGTAACGGCAGACTCGACAGTAGCAGTAGCAGCAGCGGCAGCGGCACCACTGCGGCCAAGAAGTGCTGGCGCTGGTGCTACTGCTAATGCTGGTGCTGGTGCTGGTTTTGGCGATGGTTTTGGTGCTAATTCCGTGAGCAGAGTCACCACAAGGCAATCAACTAGAGGCGACACCGATTCGTCGCTTGATCTCAATGCAATCACTTCTCATGACATGTTTCGCAATTCGAAACCTATTAAAAAGCAAACTTTTGATGATGGAGATGATGGGTTGGATTTGAATAAAGAGTACAATTTTGGAGAAGAAGAGGAGATGGATTTGAATTTGGACATACCAGAGGAAGTACAAGAGGTCAACTCTGAGGACGAAGAAGTGGATGCTATAAAACAAGACATTAGATTTTTAAAGCAAGAGTCTGTTCAATCTACTAGGAACACACTTCGAATGGCACAGGAAGCTGATGCTTCTGGTACAAATACATTGGGTATGTTGGGATCTCAATCTGAGAGGCTCTATAATGCTGAGCAGAGCTTGCTACTTGCAGATACGCAAACGCAAATTGCTGATGAAAAAGTCAAAGAGTTGAAGAGGTTAAATCGGTCGATATTTGTACCTGCATATGGTAACCCTTTCAATAAGAAGTCAAGATTGCGTCAGCAAGAGGAGAATCTCAAAGCACGTAAAATGCAAGAAAAATACCTTAGAGAGAACAATCGTCAGGGAATGTATGAAAGTGAGCAACGAATCAAACAAGGATTGATGAATAATGCCACCAATAACGATGTGCATCAAAAGTACCAAAATGAAAAATACTTGAATCAAGCACAAAGGTACCAGTTTGAGAATGATTCCGAAGATGATGAGATTGAAAAGGAGATTGCTTCTAATTTGGACCAGATTGGTTCTTATGCAAAGAAATTGCATGGTATTGCCAATACTATGGGGAAAGAAGTCGATAGTCAAAACATCCGGTTGAGAAAAATTGAAGAAGATGCTGATAAATTGGATATCAATGTGCATATGAATAGTACTAGATTGAACAATATTCGATAGATGGAAAAAAAAAAGGAGAGAAAGAGAGTGAGTGAGTGAGTGAGTGAGTGAGTGAGTGAAGGGTTGTAGCAGTAGGCGGTAGTAGATGTTGTTATAGGATAGTGTTTTTTGTAGCATAAATTTTGCCCCTAGTAGTAGAAAGTAATAAGCAAAAATTCAGCACGGTTACACGCTCATAAGGCTAAAACCACCCAAAAAAAAAAAAGATGAAATGAGATGTAAATTTGGCCGTTGTGCGTACGTTTGTGCAGACGTTATACGTAATGTTGGACAAATTTTTTGTATGAGCGAAGAAGAGGCGTGGGGCAAATTTGCGGGGGTTTGATTGCCTGCGCAACAGAGTATCACATTAACTTGTTCGAATCCAAAGTCAATCGGTGGTACTGGTTTGGACTTGCAGATAAGTGCATTGAGAAACATCTACAAACAAGAAAACCTACTAACAAAATGGAATTGAAAAAACAAAAAATTATAAATCAACAAAGATTAAAGATTAAAGATAAAAAAAAAAAAAAAAAGAAATTTTTCAATGCATGTGTCTTTGAAACAAACACCCACGGAACATACTGAGACAAGAAATGTTGAGACAGATTGATTTGTATATTAGTGTTTATTCTGTTTGAAGAGGAAGAACAAGAAAAGCCGTTTGAGTCAAGTCTAATAAGTAAATAGATTTCAAAGCCAAGTTGTGGGTCTAAGCTCATAACACGAGTTATAAACAGAATTAAGAATAGGGTTAAGTTTACATTTAGTCTTTTCTCTCTCTCTCTCTCTCTCTCTCTCTCTCTCTCTCTCTCTCTCTTATCAGGTGCATTTCGAAATTTAAGCTTATCCGCGATATGTCTTAGTTAAAGAATAGCTTGATAATTGGATGTTTACCCATTTATTCCCAATTTCAGCAAGCTATTTATTTAGAAAGTTTTTAATTATATTCAATTTTTTTTTGGGGCTTTGGAAAAGAAAAAAAAAGAAAAAAAAAAAAAAAACCATCGAATCGAAGTGGATTCAAAAGGTTTTTCTTTCTTTTTTCAACCTATAACATATGGCACCACTAATTTTCATGAATTTTTCATGAATTTTGCACATCTTCTCTTTTAGAAATTTTCTCATTTATTCTCTTTACATTCGCTCTCTTTTATTCAAGTGTTTAGAAAGCCTTCGTTACTACCTTCTATTCACTGTTTTTCCTTTTGGGCTGTTGGTTTTTTTTTTTTTGTTACAATGGCAGCTGCAACAACCTCCTCTATTTCGCTATCCTTCAATTCTGGAGGAGCAGCAGCAGCAGACTCGTCAAATATCGAGAGAAAAGGTAATGTGGCGACTTTCCAATCCAAGGCTGGGTATGAAACAAACTTGACTGCCATTGACACTTATGGTAACACTTTTAAAGTTCCAGATTACTCTATTAAGGACATTTTATCAGCTATTCCAGCACACTGTTATCAAAGAAGATTGATGCAGTCCTTATTTTATGTTTTCAGAGACATTGCAGCTATGGTCACTTTGGGATTTGTGGCAAACAACTATATTCAATTAATCCCTAACGAATATCTCAGATTTGCCGCGTGGGCTGGTTACATCTGGATGCAAGGGTTATTTGGTACTGGTATTTGGGTTATGGCACATGAATGTGGTCATCAAGCATTTAGTGATTACGGCCTGGTTAATGACTTTGTGGGTTGGATATTGCACTCGTATTTAATGGTTCCATATTTTTCATGGAAATATAGTCATGGAAAACATCACAAGGCAACTGGTCATTTAACCAGAGATATGGTTTTCATCCCAAAGACCAAAGAGGAGTTTTTGAAAAAGAATTCTGCTGAAGCACTTGAGGATTTGTTTGAAGAGCTGCCAATTTTCTCATTGTTAAAACTTCTCGTTCAACAATTTGCTGGTTGGTGGGCATATTTATTTGCCAACGTGAGTGGTCAAAAATATGATGGTAAATCATGGTGGCAGGTGAGTCATTTCAACCCAGAGTCTTTATTATTCGACAAAAAGGATTATTATTATATTTTGTTATCTGATGTTGGGCTTTTAATCCAAGCTACAATTCTTTATACTTGGTACAAAAATTTTGGATTATTCAACATAACTGTTAACTACATTTTACCATACATTTTAGTCAATCACTGGTTAGTGTTTATCACCTATTTGCAACACTCGGATCCTCAAATGCCACATTATGAAGCCCACCAATGGACTTTTGCTCGTGGTGCTGCAGCCACTATCGACCGTGAATTTGGATTTGTTGGCAAACACATTTTCCATGACATTATAGAGACCCACGTATTGCACCATTACGTTTCAAGAATACCATTCTACAATGCTAGGGAAGCTAGCCAGGCTATAAAGAAAGTAATGGGTGAACACTACCAATACTCGAATGAAAATATGTGGGTAAGTTTGTGGAAATCGGCAAGATGGTGTCAATTTGTCGATGGAAAGAATGGTGTTTTGATGTTTAGAAATGTCAATGGGTTGGGAGTTGATCCAAAGAAAAGTTAGATAGATGTATGAGGAAGAAAAAGGAAAAAACAAGTAATTACTATATTATATGAACATCCATGTATTTGTCCTAGCTTTGTATGTAGTATAGTCAATACCGAAGAATGCAACGAGAAACCGCTCTTCATAGTGGATTCTATCACGAAAGAACCTCCAGAGAATGACGGCGCCTACTACCAAAGTAAACACGTTCCTCAATAGTAGCTCCATTCCTATGAACCAGATGAAGAATCCCAAGTAGCTGGGATGTCGCACGTAGCGGTAGATCCCGGTAGTGACTAAAGTGTGTGATTTCTTTTCTGATTTCTGAATATAGTGGTTGAATGATTCCTTAGCTGTGTACATGCTCAAAGTTCTTGTAATCTGTCCAATAGCTACAAGGATAAGTCCCAATACAATAATAGTATTTGGCAATTTTAGCCAGTTTGGAGTAAGGGATTTTTCCAAAATGGAACCCATAGTAACTGCAAGAAAGTCCTTTTCCTCCAATATAAACGAATCATCATCTACTTGTGTATTATTGTACAAGTATGTTGAAATGAACTCAAGTGAGTGGAATAAACAAAGGCATTGGAAGTATATACAAGTTGGTATTAGGGACAGGTGTGTGAATTCTAGGATAAACGTTGTGGCAAAAACGGCTCCCAAAAGGAAAGACTTGAAGCCAATTGTGAGTAAGTTATTCTTTGCAGGATCATACCGTGACCATTCTGGAGATTCAATTGGTCTGATCATAAAGAAAACCTCGTGTAGTGTGGTTTTTTTTCAATATTTTTTTCTTTTTTTTTTTTTTTTTTTTTTTTTTTTTTATCTAATTTTTTTTTTTTTTTTGCACCAAATGCCCTTGACTCACTGCTACAACCCGTCAAGTGTATCCTTGTGTGAGATATTTTATGTCTGTGCCACTTTGGGAGCATTGTTTGTCTTGGAAATTTGGTCAATCTTTCATTCGAAACATGTACGGTTAATCATATACCTTTTATTGTTGGAGATTTATTTTGCCACAGAGTTTATCAACTCCTACTTGTACCAGCCCAGCACAGTTACATCAAGGTCATTTTTGATTTACGGCGTAAAAGGGAACTTTGAGTTTTGGATAATGGAATTTTTGAGTGTTGTAGAATATTTCTTTGGAGCAAAGTCCAACTTGATGATCTCCTCTATTGGTTTGGGATGTACAATTGTAGGCTTGTTTATTAGACACTTGGCAATGAAACAATGTGGCGATTCATTTAGTCACTATATTGCTACTGTTCGAAAACCTCATCACAAGTTGGTAACAGATGGAATATATGGGTATTTTCGACACCCTAGTTACTTTGGATTCTGGTTGTTTACCATGGGGATTCAGCTTTTTCTCAACAATTATGTAAATCTCCTAGTAGACCTTATTGTTTTACACATTTTTTTCCAAAAAAGAATCAAATTTGAAGAGGCGATGTTGGTAGAAAAGTTTTATGGGGTAAAGTACAAACAGTATCAAAAGCACGTTGGCGTATATATTTTATAAACTTTTATTCATAAACTTTCTCCTCGTGAATGATAACCAAAATTTACTTGGAACATTCTCGTCGTCTTGGTATATTCTTGTTAACAACCTTTCCGCCAACTCTTGTCTAAATTGGGTCAAGTAGCTCCTCAATAATTCTGCTTCCGATTTCGTTTTAGGAGGTGCATATAAGGAGTTTAATGGGAAATTCACATCTCCTGGTAAGGCAAAGTTATCGAGACTTAAATTGCTTAAAACTCTAGTGGCCTCTCTAAATGACATTGTCTTGTTGAGCTTGCTCAAACAGTCACTAATGAATAAAATTCCATAAATCAACAACCTATCGGCATTTCCTTTGATTTCGAAATTTTTGAAAAATGAGTTGGGTCGAAATAAGTCAATTGTTTCCTCTACAATATCATAGTCTTGGTCTGGCTCAAATGCTGGTCCACGGTACTTTGTGCGAATTGGTAATAAAGATAGATTACCAATAGTTCTCACATCTTGGGACTCCTCAGCAAGGAATGTCGAATGGTAAGCGGGCATTTCCAACAAAAAAAAAACACAAAAGGAGCAAAGAGGTGTAGAAAGCAGTGCTTTATATCAAAGCAAAGCAAGGGGGAGTTAGTTTGTAAGTAATTGGATTATTGACAATAAATTAGGATTGTTCGGCCCCTAAAGTGTGTTCGCATTATTTGGTAGCGAAAGACAGAGAGAAGAAAAAAACTATGAAGAGAATCCTTCATCCCAAAGTTAAGACGACTGCCGCTAACTCTGGTTGGTACTAGTTCTCATCGAAGCTACAAACAGTCTCAATATACATCTTGTATTTCTTGTATGTATTTTTTTTTTCTAGCAATACCCCTTCTATAGTCAGGCTCACTGCACCCACCACGTTACTTTTACTCATTGCAATCATTTTTTTTTTTTTTTTTTTTTTAGGGGAGTCAATAGTTTTTCCGATCCCAATTAGTACAAATTATAAACAAAATAATTATTCTCTTTAAACTACATCGAATCGGTTTATATTACTTACATCAAAATTAGTCCTCAAAACATATTAAATTTAGCAATTGGTGTTATTGTAAGAAGAAAGAAATAGAGGAAAAAAAAAGAAAAAAAGAGGAAGAAGGGCTGGTAAGGTGTTATTGGTACTTCTTCATCATCATCATCAAATAAGCTATTATGTCGACATCGGGATTTTCGCCGAACTCCATCAAACCTGCACCAACGACTACAACAAATGAAAATGATGAAAAGAGCGATTTATCCAGTAAAATATTTGAGAAGAGGTACACCAGTGGACCAGTTCACCATCCTGAACCATTGTTGTCGCCGTCAAAGAGACAGTTTCTCAAACAAATGAGCCCAAACATAACGAAAAAGCAGCATCGAGTTATATCAAACGAGCCTATATCCAAGCCGCCCAACTTTGTCAGCGGGAATACCAAAAAAGAGTCCAACTTTCCCAGACCCCAGTTACCGCATTTGTTGAAAAAACCGAGTTTGGATCAGAGGTCGAAGACTACCATTGCGGTACCATCAATGGCAACCGCTGCTTCTTCTTCTTTCTCCTCCTCCTCCTCTTCTTCTTCTTCATTGTCGGTACCATTCACGCTACGTCGATCAAACTCGCTATTGAGCCGAACAAGCAGCTCATCAATAGAGCAACAAAAGTTGAAAGCTTCTGATAGATTCATACCATCACGACACTATTCGGCTACGAGGAAATTGGATCCAGCAGCGCCAGAACCGGAGCCAAATGCGTCACCTCAAAAGCATATTGAAGCCCAAACTTCCAAAATATATCAGCATCATGTTGCAGAAGCTTGCGGACTAGAGGTGAACTCGAGAATACTACTTTATCAGCCTTTACCGCCAGAAAGAAAGAAACCTTTGAATTTGCAAGCGTCTAAATATAAAGTTGGAAACAAGTCACTTCCGCCTTTACTTGCATCAGCGAGAGCAAAGAAAATACCTGTAGCGCCTGAAAGGGTTTTGGATGCTCCAGGGTTGGTTGACGACTTTTACCTCAACCTATTAGCCTGGTCGCTGTACAATTTATTGGCAATTGGGCTAGAAGATGCGGTGTATGTTTGGAATGCATCGACGGGTTCAGTAGGATTGCTATGCGAACTACCCGAGAAAACTTTGGTGACGTCATTGAAATGGTCGCAAGATGGCTCGTACGTGTCGATTGGGAAGGAGGATGGGTTGATTGAAATATGGGACATTGAACAGAATGTCAAATTAAGAACAATCAATTGTGATAACCACTTGACGAGAATAACATCGCAAGCATGGAGTCAGCACACTTTAACCAGTGGAAGTAGGATTGGAAACTTGTACCACTCTGATGTGAGGATTGCATCACACTTGGTATCAAAAGCCGAGGGGTGTCATAGCTCAGAAATCTCTGGCATAGAATATAGACCGGATTTAAAACAATTTGTTACCGGTGGGAATGATAATTTGGTCAATATATGGGACGTTAGAAATAACAGCCCCTTATTTTCCAAGAGGAACCATAAAGCCGCTGTAAAAGCGATGTCGTGGTGTCCGTATCAGACCACCTTGCTAGCCACAGGGGGGGGTTCTACTGATAGAACAATAAATTTCTGGAATACTAGCACCGGTGCTCGAGTGAGTACAATTGATACAGGTTCGCAAATCTCATCACTAAATTGGGGATATGCTGGAGGCACGGGAATGGAGATTGTCGCAACACATGGGTTCCCTACTAATAGCATATCTTTGTTTAATTATCCAACTTTACAAAAGACGGGTGAAATCATGAATGCCCATGATACAAGAATATTGAACGGGTGTTTAAGTCCAGACAATCTAACCCTTGCAACCATTGCCGGGGATGAGAATTTAAAGTTTTGGTCTTTATTTGACATGGACAAGTCGTATAAACGGATTTATAACGAAGAGGATGTCGATGAGAACAATGATGTGAAAGAGCACAAGAGGATTAAAAGGATGATGAGTTTTAGGTAATAAAAAAAAATTGCAACTAATTATCACTTGCTTTCTTTCTCTTTCTCTTTACCTCTCTCTTTCTCTTTCTCTTTACCTCTCTCTTTCCATCTTTCTCTTCCATTTTCGTTTTTTTTCCTTCCCCATGAAAGAATAATTAATCATTGTTGATTATGCGACGTCCAACAAATAGCTTAATCCTTACTAATCTTGAAGAGAAGGTACTTGAGAATCCGCAAGAGTTGATAGATTTTTTGTGCGAAGATGAAGACTACATAGTCGAGTTTATATGTCTTTGTAAACTATCACGAATAGTACTTATTTGTGAAACATCAAGTATTGCGCAGAGCATTAAACAAAAGATTGGCAATGATATGAGATGGAGATATATCAAGGTCTCTTTTAGTATGAAGGATAATGCATTTGATGTAAGTAAGCAAGATTTGGAAGTGGGTAGGAGAGAGGATAAGAATTATTTGGAGTTGCCGCATGATCTCGATGTGAAACGGTTTCTTATAAGTCCGCCGATGAGTCCGCGATCAGGATGGGACAATTGGAATAAAACAGAAGAAGGGCCTAATGAGAAAGCGATTTATTCACCAGAGGAGTTGTCAGAGATACTATGGGAAAGACTTGGAGGAGAAGAAAGTAAACTTGTGCGGAGGTATAATGAGACAAGCAGGGAGACGATTAATTATGAAATAGAAAGAGAATTGCTATTTGAGGGGATTGAAAATGGAGTACCAGCGATTGTTTTGGATAGCGTTGGCAAGTGTGAAGTTGAGGAGAACATGCCCAAAACGTCGATGCCTCCGGTAGAGCCAAAATAAAAGAAACACGGGTTTGTAAGATTAATGGTTATTAGCAAGTACAAAATAAAAAAGGGCAGTCTTTGTGAACCGAGCTAGTGGAGCAGAACATATTAGCAACACTATCGAGCAAAGCGAGATAATGGGGCAAATTGAGTAGTTACTATTTGGTTACCGAAATGGAAAGAAAGTAGAGACAAATGCCAAGTGATTAGAGAGTAGTTGAGAAAGAATTGAGTTTATGTAAATGTTTTACGTGGATCTTTAGCTGTTTTCCCAAACTGAGTATTCATTTTAAGTGGTTGTATGAAGCTCTATAAAGCTCTACAAACTTTATACTTTGACGTCAATATAGAAATTTCTTCAAGACTCTGCATCACATCTCTCTACAGTTCTTTAATTAAACAACTGTAGATGACTTTTGTAAGATGATTTTATATAATTGTTTTCTGCACAACTTTTATTCACACTTTGACACCAATGAATTTGAAGCCCCTACACTATCGAGCAAAGCGAGATAGTGGAGTAACGAGCAGGCTTTATAATGAGCTAGTCAGCATTTGCTAGTACAGTAAACATTAGTAGTAATTTACAATGGGAGGAGAAAAGAGTGTAGTCTTGATAAAAGGAAAAATGTGAAGCAATAGGTGAAAGGGGATTTTTGACAGAATCGAACACAAAAAAAAAAGAAAGCACTTGCCAAGTAGGCTA